GTAAAAAAATTACTAAGCAATTGGTAAAAGTTAATACACTTGTTTTTCGACTGCTAATTTAAATATGTGGCACAAGTTTAATTTGAATGTGGAGTCATCTACTCTGCATTAAAATATGGTTTCACTCTTTTATGTTGAGCAGCTTTAAATGGAAACAATAACCGATTAATAATTGAAAATAAACCGTATTTATAACCCCATCATTACTTACTAAAGCTGGAATCAAGCCTTTCAAATACGCCCCATCCATTTAAGAGCGACTTTGAGTTGTATAATCACGTGATCTGCGTTAACACAAATTGGCAGAGCCTCATGGGTGAATTTAGTTTGCATAAAAAATTAAAATTACTTTACAAAAATGTTTTGTGCCTTTAATGTAGAGCGGTTATTTTAACGAGGCTAATTTTTACTGGAATTTTATGAGTTTTGGGAGTGGCCGCATAGTAGTGCGTGTTTAAATAAGGCATGAACAGCCTCCTTCGGTCACCAAGGTGAAATTTTGCGGTTTGCAACGACTGTCCTAGTAACTATCTCTTCTTTTAATCGAAATTGTGTTTTTTAAAATTTGAAAATACGTTTCTTGAAAACGTTAAATAAGTGTAATCTTGGCTACTTTCATTTTCTCTACTTTCTAAAAATACGCCATTCAAATTATTTCGCCTCGTACACTGCTTTACGATTAGTTTCCACTACATTAAAATAAACCAATTTGCTAAATCTAAGAGGATAAATTCTTGTGCTGCAGAAAGCTTTTAAAAATACCATGCCTTCAGGCTACTTATACGCCTGCTTTGTAGCCCTATTGGAATCATGTCTCAGGTAAAACGCTAACAGTCAGGCACATGTAAAGTGGTTTACTTATTGTATATAGAAAGTGAACTAACTATGCGCCATTTAGCGTCATCACATTGCTTTGGTCTTAATATCTGCCAGTGGAGTTAAGTTAAACAAAATAGGCTTAAAAATCACTCTAATTTTATTTGATTTTAACTTATGACAAAGTTTGCTAAATTACTGATCCATAAAAAGGAGATCTGTTCTAGTTTTGCTGCAATAATCGGAGGAACGACTGCATTTAATTTTTATTAGTTAGTCTTGCCACTTTGGGCGTAAATCTACTGGAAAATAATAACGTATTCGGTATTTATTGGAGCTTAAGTGTTAAATATTAACTTCAAATTCAGATTTATATCGTAGTGCGTTTATAATCAGTAATTAATTTATTGGTTGTTAGTTTGGGGAATAAGAGAAGCAACGGTTTGTTATGGATGCAAATGGACAAAATATGATGCCTTATATTTAGCTGTCACAATTTTGCCAATTAATAGGAATGAGCATGCCCTAATCGAGCCGATTCCCTCATAACTCAATTTAAACATATCATTAGGGCATTTGTAGGTAACTGGTTGCAAAACTAATTGCATTTTATGCTTAGAGTGGCCATGTCGTCACGCGCCACCAATTTTGGCATTAACAACTGCGGACCACGCTTATCACACCGACTTAGATTCGTCGTGGTATAGTGACTTTATGGAAGAGGTGAGATATTCCCACTGAGATTAACAATACAACCTATATCCACCTTGTTGGTTGAAAACAGCAAGGATAGAATCAAACGGCAAACGGGTAAATTGATTCGCCCATGAATCACTCAAATCACCATGCAATGGACTAGTGTGTGGAACAGAACTACTATACCTGAACAAGTCAGCTGGACAAGGCGAAGCATCCCAATTCTCTCGTGCCTACTAAATACGCTCTACGTAAGCATTATCAGTAGCAATAGTAAAATATAAATTCGAATACAAACAGTTAAATGG